AAAAATAATTTTTGATCGAAATTTTAAAAAAAAAACGTATCGATCAAACGAAGAATCTCGTCTCCGCGTCGTGATGGTCTCGATATTTTTTTGAAATTTTTTCAAACGTTGAAAGAGCAAAAATCGAGAGAGAGAAAGAAAAGAAAAGAGATAGTGTGGGGGACAAAAATAGTATTTGAGGGGACGGTAAATATTAAAAAAAGGGCGGTATTTAGTGTTTGACTAAAATTTTTGTGGGTTAGTCAATAGTCACGATAGAAAAAAAAAATAGAAAGAGTGGGACCCAACAGGGGCTGAGAGAAAATTTACAAGTGGGATTTGGTTCAATTTTCAAAAAACCATGGGCTTATGAAGGTATATTTCATGTGGGTTTGACAGCTATTTTGGTGATTTTGCAATCTTGCTCAGGTGGTTTTGGTCATCATCTTCATGACATTTACATCTCATGCTTAGTTGTTCATTTTTTTTTTTTTTCAACTTTTCATATGCTATGCCTATAGCATGAGTATGCCTGGTAGATTAACTGGTCTCTAATAAAGTTAATTCATAGTTGATTTACTTAGAAAATGAAAATTATTTATATTTTTAATGCATGTGGTAAATTGAGTTAATAACAATATAACGACACAAATAACAAACTTTATTTATATCTCACTTTTCAATTGGGAGCCACAAACTTAAATTAAATAAGTAACAAATAATCATTATAAATAATAATTACTTTTTTTTATATATATTTTATTTATTTAGTTGAATACTAAAAGAATTGTCAATCTACAGGAAGCTTTAGGTATGGATGTGGTAATAATAAATTATAAAATTTATCACTTGCACTACTTGTTTGGTGGACACCATCATTCGTTCGGCAATTCGTCGGGGCAAAACGCTACGTACAGGTTTGATTTTGTTAGAAAAAAGTTAATTACACGGAATCTTACGAATTCATATATAATTTTCAGTTCTTAAAAATAAATTAAAAATAGAAAATTACAATATAACCGAAAATAAATTACAACTTGGAAAAACGGAAATATTTTAGCCGAGACGAGTAAACTCTTTCCGCAAGACGAATACGCCCCATGTAGTGCTAACGGTTCAGGCGTATCGTCCCAAAAGATACAACGGCGATCATCTCAAAATCTGTAGCACACCAGATTTACGAGCTCCCAGGAACTGGAACAGAGTCGAGAATTGAACAATTAAAATAAGAATAAAATTATTGTCAAGACCGTAAAATATTTGGAAGATATGGAAAGATGGCACACCCCATTGTGGTGTCCTCATATTATTATCTCATATATATACAACAAGACCTAGGGTAATTACAAGGAATTACTTGCCAAGCAAGATACCTAAAACTAGGAAAATATACTATCAAAAATACAATCCTAAATATACCAAATATACCAATATACAAACACCCCCCCTCAAGTTGGAGCATGAGGATTTCGAATGCCCAACTTGCCAAGGAAGTGATCAAACTCGCGCTTGCCCAAGGCCTTTGTAAATATATCGGCGAGTTGCGAATGAGTGGAGACATGAGATGCAGTGATGAGACCCTGGACAAGGGCATCCCGAAGAAAGTGGCAATCAACTTCAATGTGCTTGGTGCGCTCATGGAAAACAGGATTTGCCGCAATGTGTAGAGCAGCTTGACTATCACAATGAAGACGCATGGGCTGAGAATGATAAACACCAAGACTTTTAAGTAAACCTTTCAACCACTTTAATTCACACGTAAGCGTAGCCATTGCACGGTATTCTGCCTCCGCGGAAGATCGAGCGACAGTATGCTGCTTCTTGGTCCGCCAAGAGAGAGGAGAGTTACCCAGTTGGACAAACCAACCAGTAAGTGACCGATGAGTAGTAGGACAAGTTGCCCAATCGGAATCACACCAACCATAAAGTTGTAAGTCACAATCAGTCCGAAGAAGGATACCTTGGCCCGGAGTACCCTTCAAATAACGAACCACACGCAGGGCAGCGTCCCAGTGAGCCTCACGAGGCTGGTGCATGAACTGAGAAAGCATGTGCACCGCATAAGAGAGATCAGGACGAGTAACCGCCAAGTAAATCAGATGGCCCACCAAACGTCTGTATTTCTCTGGAAAACAAAGGACCATCCGCCAAAGGAAGTTGATGGTTCTGTTCCATTGGAAAATCTGTCGGTTTCCCACCCAATAGACCAGTCTCGGCCACAATGTCAAGCGCATATTTCCGTTGACACAAAAATATGCCAGATGAATTTCGAGCTACCTCAATACCAAGAAAATATTTGAGAACGCCGAGATCCTTCATATGAAAGCACTGACCCAAATAATCCTTAAAAGTCGCAATAGTGGCCGGATCACTTCCGGAAATAATCAAGTCATCAACATAAACTAGAACCTGCAAATCCAGACCGTCCCTATGAAGAGTAAATAAAGAATAATCCGAAAGTGACTGTTGAAAACCATACTGCTTAAGAACAGTACCAAGCTTGGCGAACCAGCACCGAGGAGCTTGTTTCAAGCCATAGAGAGAACGCCTGAGTTTGCAGACATCACCAGAGCGCGGAGAGGAAAAACCGGGAGAAAGTTTCATGTAGACCTCCTCGTTTAGATCACCGTGCAAGAAGGCATTGTGAACATCCATCTGATGAACTTCCCAGCGTCGTGCTGCTGCAACGTCCAAAAACGTTCGAACAGTGACCATCTTAGCAACTGGAGCAAAGGTCTCCTGATAGTCAATCCCTGCAATTTTCCGGTTACCAAGAACTACCAATCGAGCCTTGTACCGCTCAACTGTTCCATCAGAGTTATACTTGATGCGGAAGATCCATTTGCACCCAATAGCATGTTTGCCCTCAGGAAGGGACACGACATCCCAAGTATGATTGCCTTCCAATGCTTTGATCTCGAGTTGCATGGCAGAACGCCAACGACTATCCCAAACTGCCTCTGAGTAAGATTGAGGTTCGGTAGAGGAAGCTATAGCTGCCAGGAATGTCTTATGCCCCGGCGAGAAAGAATCACAAGAAACATAATGAGCAATAGGGTACAGAGTACCCGAGGATGATGACGAAATCGAGGAGTCAGCAGGGGGAATCGAGGGACAAATAGTATGAGAAACGTAATCAGTGAGCCGAGAAGAGCGATGCTTGACCCGATGACCTCGACCAAGTTACTCAGCCTGGGGGGTTTCAATGGTACTCCCCCTGCCCTCATCACTAGCAGAATTTCCAGAATTAGACGGGGCAAGTCCACTTGACACAACCGAACCCCCTATCCTCCTCACTAGCAGAATTCCCAGAATTAAGCGGGGCAGGTCTTCTTGACACAACCGGGGTCGCATCATCATCGTCCGTCACAACAGGCCAAGTGTCAGTATGAACCGGAGATGTCGAAGGAGAAGATGACTCCATATAAGGAAACTCAAATTCACAAAACTCCACATCACGAGAGACGAAGAAAGACTTCGCCTCCAAGTAAAAAACACACCATCCTTTCTGACCAGCCGGGTAACCAACGAAAATACATTTTCGACTCCGACTCGCAAACTTGTCTCCATGACGATTTTGATTATGAACGTAGCACAAACATCCAATGACACGAATATGAGCATCGGCCGGAGGCCGATTATATAAGATTTCATAAGGAGTCTTACCAGACAGAACAGGAGTTGGAGTACGATTTATCAAATAGCCTGCAGTAAGCACACAGTGACCCCAGAACTCAAGGGGAAGCTGAGCTTGAAAACGCAGGGCCCGAGCAACATTAAGGATATGTTGATGCTTACGTTCAACTCGCCCATTTTTCTGAGGGGATCCGACGAATGAGGTCTCGTGTATAATGCCTTTGGTACGAAAATAATCCCGAAGACAAGTGAATTCAGTACCATTGTCACTACGGAATACCTTAACTAAGGCACCGAATTGTCTTTTCACCAAAGCAAAGAAAGCAAACAAAGTATTAGAAACTGCAGTTTTATCATGCAATAAATAAATCCATGTGACACGAGAAAAATCATCGACGATAGTCAAAAAATACCGTGCTCCATTAAAGGTGGGAACGCGATATAGACCCCATAAGTC